GGGGGTGGGGATGGCACCCGGTCGGTCTCTGCAGACAGATCGATGGTCCGGCTAGGTACGGGTGGATGTGAAAAGAAAGAGGGGAAGTACACGATGTGTGGCTGGATGGCGAATGCTCTGGTTTGCTCCGTCTTTCCGATCAAACATGATATAATATATCTATCGTCCTTATCTTTCATTCTTCTTTTGTTTGTATGTCACTATCTTGTAACACATCTATTCTTCGACACTCTTAACGACCTAATTGTGTGGGTGTTTTGAGGGCGTCACTGGTAGGTCCGGCTTCTTTACTTACCCCTCTGTTTTCTTCTGTCTGTCTTACTTTTTCTCAGCATTACTGTGTCGATGTGCTTCTTTTTACTTAAACAAACAAGACTTAATTGTGTTGCAAGTGCCGGAAAACTCTGACCTTGTGCCGTTGCCGGACAATGCGTGATTTGGGGTTTGGGAAGGGGGGAGGGGGTCTGGCAGCGACACACTGGGTTGGCGACAGCCGTCAGATTGACTTGACCCTATTCTGCATGACAACTCAGTGGAAGATTGGATTTGAGATTTTTTTTTCTTTTATTCTTGGGGTTAGGAATTTTTTTTTTTTATCTGTTTGGTTATTCTTTCCTATTGCTCCAAATCCTGTTTTTCACCCTTTTTTTTCCCGAAACCCTAAATGGGTGGTGGTTTCCCTGCATTCGTGTTGCTCTTTGATTCAAAGTGGACCTGAAACTTTTGCAACGTGGGTGGGAGCGGGGGAGGAGCCGTCAAGCGAAAGTTGTCGCCCGAGTCTCCAAATAGAAGTTTACGCCGTGCGAGTTTCGCCTTGCCAGGGGAGGTAGGAATAGGAGGCAGCAGCAGGGGCGGGGAAAGGGGGCGAGCTCTGCACACATGTGAACATTTTCCTCGATTTCTCCCACTTAACAACTCGCATTTCACTTCATATTTCGCGTGCGCCTCATTTGGAGTAGTACCCAAGCGATGAACAGGTTGTGGCGAGTGAGTTCGCATGCTGTGTCGGGTTAAAAGGACGGATGTGTCACAGCAGAGCACACACACACGCACGCACGCACACACACGTACGCGTATACACGGGGCCTACGCGCGTGTGTGCGTATGTGTGATGTGTCCACCCCCTCCCCCCGCCTTCCTTTCCTCTCCTGATCCGTACGCTACGCTACACCTCACTGGTGGTGGCTGAGGAGGCATTCGCGTTCCACGGTAGGGGGAGGGGGGAGGGGAGGAAAGGAATCATGAGAGGGGCGGGGCTTTACCGTGTGACCTCTGACCTAGCCCGTTCACTATCCTGTAGTGAAGAAGGAATTTGACCGACTCCACACCCACACTCACAGAAATCTGATCCCTTGCACATTTTACTAGACTAGTCGGAACCTGATGATAACAGTCAACAGTTTGGCGTCGGCATAGAATGAATGTCTACGAGTGGACTGAGTTATACAAACAGACAGACAAACAGACAGACTGGATAAGACATGAGACGAAAGTACACACACTTGACAAGTTATATACGTCAAAACGAGATTCCTTGCCCTTAGCCCATTGACGTCAGCGTGCGAATGCGTTCCTGTGAATGTTTATTCCCGTTTTAACCTAATGACCTCATTGTGTACGACGTGAATACTTCTCTCCCCCC